GACTAAACTATATATAATAAATATAAGTGTAATTATAGATAAAATATAAAAGCATATTAAATATTAAAATAAATAATTTACAAAAACAAATAAATATAATATATTTAAAAAATACATTATAAATAAATAATTTATCCATAGAAGCATACGTAAAAAAATAAAGAATAAAAATATTAGTATATTTTGAAGTGATAAATTATTTAAAACTCAACAGTTTTTGTTAAATATAAATTTCAAAACTAAATAAATTAGAATATTTCACGTTTGAGTTCAATTGTGAAGAATAGGATACCCATACTGTATTTACCACAATTATGAGATGCTGTGTCAAATTAATATTTTTTAGTTGGCATTCTGATTGTGGCATGTCGGAAAATATGAATTTATTCAAAAATATACTTTGCAAGCCCAATATAGGAAATTATTTACCCTACCATTGATACGATTTCCAAGTAGCAATTTGCGATCCTCAGAAGATTATATTCATTAGTTTAAGAATTAAGGCTTAAATTAACGTATTATTAAGAATTTTGAAGTATTTTTTAAATAAATTCATGCAACTCCTATGAAAATTGAGGAAAAAATACATTAATTGTGTGTTTTTTAAAATAATGGCTGATAGATGGCGCCACAGACTAAACGCAGCGTTGTTTCACTTGAAATTTTATTTTATAATGGAAAATTGTTAATAATTTTCTTTATTAGTAATCTTTGGAATAACTTTAAATTTATTTAGTAAATAAACTATTAAAAATATAAATATATATTGAACATACGAAATTGCGCGCCGAAAATGAACGTAAACTTCCGGCGGGCCGCATGCATGTTTCTTAATTAAGGAGTTTCGGGGTTTTGAACCTGCTGAGTATAACATATTTAATAAACTACAGTACTCTAGGTAGTAAAATAACACATGCTAATGATATGCAAACTAATAACACGAAATTACTTTTATCTTTTTAACTGATCAAATATAGTTTGAATGCTCTTCGTTACGAATATCAGCTTAATTGATGGGTGCATAATGGTAGGAGTTAGTAAACAGGAAATTAAAATTAGGTTGACAAAACCACAAATTAGTATCTCAAGAGGTGCATGCGAGCCGCGAGTTGTTCATGACTGCTCTAGTTATTTTAATGGAAAACCGCAAACAATAAGTGGTATTGAAGGTTTATTTAAAAATTGATAAAAAAAATTGTATAAAATTATAGAACAAAATTCTAGGAAAGGTAAATTTATTTTTCTTTTATTACATAAATAAAATTAATTATTGTTTTATCATAGGTTTAGTTTAGGTTTAGGTTTAGGTTTATATGGTTACGGCTACGCCACACGTGGGCGATCTGCCGAAGAGGGATGCCTCCATTTATGGGAAACTGGCTCTATTTGGATGTTAGAAACGTGAAGAAAATCCGGAAAACTCTATGTGGCCACGACCAACTACCGGTGTTCAGTGGTTTTATTTACTCGGTCACTGGTGGACCTTTTTTTTAAATCATAAATATCAGTTTGTATAAAGATTTGTATAAATTTATGGATTTATTAGCTTTTAAGTAGTATATTATTTCTAATTGAAGCTTTTTTGCGTTGTTATCTGTATTTCAATAATTTGGTTAGCGAAATGCATGAATATTCATTAATTTTATAATTCTTACACAAAATATTCTTGATTTTGTTGTTATATGTATTCATTTTAATTTCTTTGCATTTTTAAGTGAGTGTCTTTGAATTTACATTCCTAAATAACAAAAAACAAAGAAAAGAAAACTACTTATTAAACTAGGTAAAAACAAATTATACATTTAATTTTAAAATTATTCGTTAAATTCTAGATCCAGATATGGAGAATTAGCAGGGACATTTAACAATTCGTGTTAAATGTCCCTGTTCAAGTTCGTCTAAGGGTCTCTTGTGTAAAAAATTATAACTGCGTATAAAATTCCATACAAAATGACTTCATAAAAATATTTTGTAGGGATTAATTCGTTTGAAAACTTTTTTTTTACAATCAAAATATCTGGCATGATCAGTATCCAGAGATAAAGAATTGTTGATACAAATACTAAAGACTGAAACAGTTTGTTTAGGTAAGAAAAAATGTGTAGTTTTTTCTAGATAGAAGTAATGGACACCTGAATGACCTCCTCATTAAAGCCTCAGCATGCCTCTCGAAGAATTCAAGTTAGAAAAGTCCGAGTCTCCGAAATTTTCGTAGTTGGTTGCATGTTCGCGCCAGACCAACGGGTTGGCCACGTGGAGTTTTTCGGGTTTTCTTCACGTGTCTAACATATAAATAGGAGCCAGTTTCAAAGAAAGTCTTCTAGCGAGTCATCCTTTTGAAAGATTACCCATGTTTTGGAAGATCCCATCCCTCTATTCCACTCTATAATTATAAAAGTTTTTTTTGATGAAAATAGATATTTTATCGTTAATAGTGACTGAGATAGTTACTGTTATTTCTTGTTCTGATCGTCGGATGGTAAAATAATCAAGTTGGCAGTCTAGGACTCATGTTTCGATCCCGGAGCGGAACTTCAGAAAATTTTCATACGTACAGTGCGTTGGTATCGTTCTTTACTATCCAGATGATCGCCCCCTTTGAACACTTGCCGAATCTATGTCGTCATGGGTTCAACCAGGTTTTCTGTCTGTCTACAGGATAGAAAGAGTTTAAAAAATAAAAAGTAGTGTTTGGATCCTATAGTTTTCCGCTGTAGAATCCAGCTCCCTTAGCTTGCCACTCTGATGGACTCGGGTCCTAGTCCGAATCGATTTAGAAATTTTCATGAAAAGGTTGATCCGGAAAAAAATCGAATCCTGATACGTCTTTCACCATTTGTTAACTCTTAGTATGGCTTGACTTAACCTTATGGACATAAAAACTTCTCCTTAAGTCTTGCAGAGTTTAAAAAGAGTAAATATTTAGAAAACCCACCGCTTTACTAACACATATTTGATTGTGAACCATGATCTATGCAGCTTGAATCAATTTTTCCTATTACGAACGGATCTGTTACTTAATAAGATAAGACAGAAAAAAATACGGATGGGAACGATAACCTTAATCCAACTATTCATGAAAATCAAGAGACCCAAATCGATCGAAACCCGAATTCTTCATTGTAGTATCGTTGGAGTACCTGTGAGTTTCAAACTTAGATGCAACAAAGAATATAACTAACTAAATAATACATTTAAAAATTATATATAAATTCTTAAAATAAAAGTAAATAATTATACATGTATATCAATTTAGTATTTTTTAAATAGTTTTTGTTAGGAAAAATTTATATCATTCGCAATCTTTAAGGTTAATATGTAACACTTAATATATAATATATAAAAAAATTGTTATTTACGTATATAAAATTATTGATCCATACTTTTAAAATTAATAAATGTAATTAAATTCGTTACATTTTTTTATTTAATTAATTTTAAAATCAAGCTTAATGTATTCTTTGTTGCCTCCATTCTTGTGCTATTGTTTCGAAAATATATTAAGACAATTATTTCCTATCATTTATTCAGAATCATTCATTCTTGTCAATATAAGATAAAATGGAGTCAATAGGACGAATGGATGATTCTTATTGTCATAATAAAGCATTAGACAATGAAGAATACGCCAAAACTTCAGTAAAAAATAGAAAATTGCAAGAATTTTTAAGGAAAATAAGAAAGAATTCTATTATTAATAATTTAAAAAAGTTATTCGTGGAGAAAAAGTAAGCTATTTAAAAATAATGGACTTTCAGAACGCTTCTTAACTACGTTTTATCTCTTTTATCCTGTACTTTACAGAGATTTGCCTGAAGTCTTAGATGAATCAAAGACTCTAGAAAAATCGGAAGCTGAAATAATTGAAATATCTTCCATAGAAAAAGAGAGCAATAAACCTTTTAATTCTCCTATTACTTTTCCTGATTTTAATTTTAATCCAGAATTTGACATTAGTTGGGATGAAATAAAGAGAACCATCGATGAAGAAGACGAAAAAATGAATTGGAAGATTTCGGAAATGATGTGCAATTCCAAATATAACGTTCAGAAAGAAGTTCAAGTGGCTGCTGAACCGTTTCGAGTAATGGATATAAAGCCTGTTCGTAGCGTTATATACGAGGAAAGTGTTTCAGTTTGTGAAGAATTGGAAACTGGAGATCAAGAGATCGTTAAACTAACTGATAAACCTTGGAACGATCTCGATTCAAATATATTAATTGAATTTCCTGGTGGTGATGACTATTCAGAAAAACATCATTTGAATAACAGCCTGGATATTCAAGAATTAAACGATGGTGATGATGATTACAATCATACACTACCAGATACATCAGAAGAAAAAGAAAATACTTTCAAGCTAAATCAAATGTGTCATAATTTGATGAATTTTTCTAATTTTCTCGAGTCATTAGAACATAGGATCAAAGATAAAAATCCTTCCTATAAAATAACAGAAGGAAATTCGCTAAGATATTCGAAAAGCACATGTAAAACCAAAGGTAATTTATATATTTTAAGTATTAATGCATTTCTCTATCATTAAACTTCCTCTTCCATTTTTATTGTACAATGTTTTATATTTATAGACTAAATTTGCAGGAGCCACATTACCAAATTACCAGAATTGCTTTAACACATTTAAAAATTTACGTAAGATTCATAAATCTAAATCCAGAATTAATCAAGATATTAAAGTAACACAGAGGTTAAATGTTATAGAGGAAATGGATGAAGAAACCGATTTTTTACGTAAATACAATTGAAAATTTCAAGAAATTTTAATGAATCTTATAGTAAAGTTTGTTATAATGCCTTAGAATGCCGTTCTTTTCAATATTGGCAAGTGAAATGCTGTAATAAATTATTCACTTTCTTAAATGCTAAATACAATTTATGAGAATACTTCTTGAATGTTTTCGTAACAGTTTCTGCATTTTATTCTTTGTTACACTATATTTAATTAAATACCTGGTGATCATAAAGTATTCCTATCTACAAAGCTTCTTAGCAGTCCAAATTTGGTATAATGAGATTTTTGGACATACGGAAAACATTTCATTAAAAACAATTAGCACTAAAACTCATTACTGCGGCTTTTTAGGTCTTAATCCAAGTGATCTTTGGTTCTGGGAACACTAGAAAGGCGTGATTTATCGTAAACCTGTCTTAAATTTGCAAAAATGTGCGGTATGTCATGAAAGACTGCATCAATTTACGGTTGACCATTGGACACACTACGCCTTCAAGTTATACATCTTCAAAATGGAGACTACATTGAGCAGTATTCCTTACACCGTTAAGGTCTCTGTACAGAGTGATTGTCTTGTACTGTACAAATAAAATGTTTTGCTTGCAGCGCGATAAATGCCGTAGTGGCAAGTTTTAATACTTTTTTTACAGAAATGTCTTTCACGTGTTCTGAAATGTTAACATGCCAAATTTGGTTGGATTTGGACAGATAGATATTTCTTTAAACAGCATTGAACACGATACCTTAATTACGATCACAAGAAACTACCGTACACTTTGTTTCGAAATTCTTGAATATACATCGTATATATTCAAGAAATTTACTGTGTATATACAGAATGATCCATTTTTTAATTAATCCACTAAAATAACTTGAAAGACCATTAAATCAAAAATGGCAGATCATAAGGGAACAACAAGATGCGGCCAGTGATCTCATCACAGATAGTGCTACAATCGATGAAGATGGGGGTCAACTTCAGTTTCTTAAATGGGAACCCCATTTTTATTGCATATTATGATTCTACGTCGAAGCCCTTTTATCTCAAATATTTTTCGAAAGATACACTTACCAGAAGTTATGAGAGTTTATTGGCTGCATTCAGCAGACTGAACAGTTCCGAAGACGTTGAGTACTGTATTTTTCTGCCGAACGCTTTCTACGGTAACATGTTTGGTGTTTTTACGTTACATTTAGTAGCTTATTTCATTTACGCTACCTTTCTCTATCTGCAACTGAGCAACGATGGCTGCGCCCATGCAAGTGGCTACCAGCTTCCTGTTTCAACGCATACGTTACTCATCGTTCAGCGGATTCATATCGCTACATAACAGCTGTCGACTAAAACACCTTCGCTCAGTTACAGCTGTTGATTCTGCTGAACACAGCCATTAAAAAAAGGAAGAAAAACACTAAAAACTCATTACGAAACACGTATGTTGGATCACTTTTTCTTCAGGAAACTTAAAGGAGTGCCCACCAGTGGCCAAGCGGTTTTCGTACCCTGAACACTGGGAGTTCGGTCGTGGATTCGCGCCTCCCTCCGACGGGCTAGCCACGTGGAGTTTTCCGGGTTTTCTCAAAGTCTGTTAGAACCTAAATAGGAGCCAGTTTCCCTTAAAAGATCTCCCTAGGCAGATCGCCCAAGTGTTGCGTTGCCATAACTTAACAAACAAACGAAACTTAAGGGGTGGGAGGCCCCTTAGGTTTCTCTATCTGGTCTCGCATGTATCTAGCGAAAATACCTACTCATTCTCATTAATGGAAGATGAACGGTTATCTACAAATATGTATGATGTTTGAATTGCGCTTACATTATCATCTTTACATGAAAATTTCTGTATTTTAAATATAATTATATATCTTCTATCTCTTTACTTTGTTCACATTTACGGAAAGATAAATGCTCAATTTTTTATATCTCTTTATTTACATATTGTAATTCTTTAACTAAAGAACTACTTTCGGCTGTAATTGGAATTAAAGGATAGATTATGACGTCCGTGTTTCGCTGGAGCGGAAAGCGCTTCTAAACTACGATGCAGCGACGTGTAGCGATAGCTGTTCCTGACGTCATTTTCGCTACACTCTCGCTGCATAAAAGAAATGCGGCCGGAAACATTTAAAATTTTGGTGCCGCCATCTGTTGTCATATTTTATTTAAATTTTTTTTTTGTTTTTAACTATTATAAAATGGCAAAAGTCTTAACTTTCAGGCTAGGGATGGATTTTATAATTATAAATGCTAATAACGAGTATAATCGTCATTAAGTCCGACCCTACTGGGGTCGGCATTAACTAGACTTAATACGACCCCCATTATCTCCCCACCCTTCTTATACAATGGCGAAATCAATCTTCTGTATAGTAGACCTCGTTACTATACTGGATTTACCATTAAGCTAAAGTTTGGGGCCGCAGCATTCAAGGGGCCTCTAATACGTATTTTTTTATACAATTAAAAAATGAGGAAGGAGCCTCAATTTTTCGTTAGCTTAGGGCCTATAAAAGTATAAATCCAGCACTTTCTATAGCCTAATTCTTGTTCGACGTACTTCAAGTTTAGTGCCAGTTTTAAAGGCAAATAAATAGTGTACCACCAAACCGAAGTTTGACTATTAATATATATACGAACCAGCGGTTATAACAGGAAAGTCTTGACTCATATGCTGTAATTTATCATTTACCATTTTGTGCTACAATATGGTGACGATTGCCGTAGGATATTGTTGTTGTATATTGTTTACTGTAAGTAATTCAAAGTAGCATTATGGTTCATAAAATTTCGCTAATTCTGGTTGAAGTGAGTATATTATATAATTGGCATAAGAAATAAGCTGTATAAATTTGTATTTAATATGTTTAAAGCTGATTACTGTACAGTACATATCAGTTTATACACACTTAAATTATAAGGTTGGACCAATAATTAAGCAATTTAATTTAGAGATTAACTACACTGATTCCAATTAACACTAACTTGTTTTAGAAAAAACAAGCTGATTGTAATCAGTGTAGTTAATCTATAAATTAGAATATATTAACTTAGAATGCGATAAACATATTAGCATGTTAAAAATATAAAGAGATATCATAAGAAAAAGTGCCATTTATAACAGATATTTAGGGACAGGAGGCCCCGATTAACTATACACGAAATTTCGGTTTGCACCAGAGACATCGTCACAATACTTGGCTGCAATTTTTAATTTATTTAACTTAAAATATATGCTCTCCACCTCAAATTAGTAATGGCTGCCCCTGTACATCATGCTTTTCCTTTAACAACGGAGTAACGCTGTCATCTATCTCACTCCTTACAAGGAAAACCTTTTGAATTGAAATAACTTTACTTATGGTGCAAACCGGAATTTCATATATAGTTAATCGGGTCTCCTGCCCCTAAAGTTTCCATGGCTGGTCTCGTCTTTAACATATCTAATACTGTTCTCGAGATCAAAGAAGGACAGACATGCAGTAGGAATTTATAGGCCTACGGTTTTTTTTTAAATTGCAATCTAATGAAAGTTCCTTTCAGTGTTATATCTTAAGAATTGTAATAAAAAAAACCCTCAAATATCTACATTGCTTTTTCCATACCCACAAGGTGGTAAGTTCTAGATACTAATTACATTGTGTCTAGAACTTCTAAACACAATAAGTTCTGATACATTGGGACTAAGCAGGTAAAGAATTATATATTCGTCTTCTAGATATGTTTTAGTGTAGACTTGTACGTCAGTATGATGTCATTTCATGTCGTAATGATGTCAAAATGATGTATAAATGTAAATTATTGTGACGAAACAAATGCACCTTCTGTTTACGCTTGAGCTAAGTCGGAATTTCGACTTTACAGTACGTGTTTGTCGGAGTAATGCACATTTCTTCGTCGAATTGTCTTCATTATTACACTTTCTAATAATAGAAATGTAAGAATGGGGTCAAATTGACATAAAAGTACAATTTATTCTGACCTTTAAGCAATAGATACAGGTGATTTAAATAATTTTTAATGACTCGAATTTTGGATTTTTGTTATGGCGAATACGAAAAGTAAGCTTGATTTAGGCAGAGGATAATTTGATTAATAAATGCATTTAGTAGTGAAAATTTCAATTTCTAAAGGTTTTTAATGGCATATTTACCATTATGTGCGATATGGGATTAAGGTAACCGAACATTTGGGCGATCCATTTAAGAGGGATCCTCCAGTTTCTATGGGAAACTGGCTCGTATTTAGGTGAATAATATTCAGAAAACTCCACGTTGCTGGTGAAGCCGGATTCGATAGAAAGTGTCGTTTAAGTGTCAAATCACACAGATATTGAAGAGTCGCTGTGGGCCATTTCTCCATACCTATCGTGGGTTCGGCCAGGCCCACAATGGAGGTGATCGGGTAGCGAGGAATCGAACCTGGGCCTCCCAGAGCGGAAAGCCTTATCCTCTACATAATTATAAACTTAACTTATAGAAAGATCTACGCAATCCTAATTATATAGAGAGTAATTCTGAAGATCTGAGCATAATAATACATAAATTATATTCAAATAGGTGAAAAATGGGAAGAAGTAGACCAAAATTCACGTTGATTGAACGGAAGAGGCGACTAGAAAACTTTTATACATGGATCATATATAGAAGAGGATTAGATTCATGACAGAAGAGGGCTAGAGAGAGACATATATTCTATATTTGGATATAGGGTGTGTTATATTTAAGGTTGAGATTAAAGGCGTGTTTATGTTTACAGTTAAGATAAAGCATAATAAATAAGCTTTGTACTAATTTCCCTACAGGCAACACCTGCATGTGTCCTTTTTTGGGGGGATTTTGAAGCGTGATTTACATGTATAAAAGTATGGATACGCGGAAATGACATTATAATTCTCATTTACCTGTCATAATCTTCGTGTAAAGGTTATATATACAACAATTAATATTTATTCAGAGCAGTTATAGAGACTATAATTTTTGGAATGCATAAAAATAAGTTATTTACCACCATTTTTCTATGTTGTCTTGTTCTGCATTGCCTTGTTTCTGTGTATTATATTCTTGATTTTTTAATTGTCTTTCTCAAATTTATCTCTATTCCTCAAATACCCCTTGGAATTTGATACTCGCTAGAATTCTAGAATT